CTCTCGGGAGGTTACACAAGGTTGGCTCCAGGGGATTATAAATGCTTCCTTGAGAGAGGGTGTCTTCCCTGCCGCCTTGAAGGAGGCGGTGGTGAGGCCTCTCCTCAAGAAGCCTTCCCTGGACCCAGCAGTGTTGGCTAATTACCGTCCAGTCTCCAACCTTCGCTTCGTTGCGAAGGTTGTTGAGAGTGTGGTAGCGCGACAGCTTCCTCAGTACTTGGATGAATCGGCTTATCTAGATCTGTTCCAGTCGGGCTTCAGGCCTGGATACAGCACGGAAACGGCATTGGTCGCATTGGTAGATGATCTCTGGAGGGCCCGGGACAGGGGTTGTTCCTCTGTCCTGGTCCTATTAGACCTCTCAGCAGCTTTTGATACCATCGACCATGGTATCATGCTGCACCAGTTGGAAGAGTTAGGGGTGGGGGGCACCGTGTTGCGGTGGTTCTCCTCCTTTCTCTCTGATGGGTTGCAGTCTGTGTTGACAGGGGGGCAGAGGTCGACCCCGAGGCCCCTTGTATGTGGGGTGCCACAGGGGTCGGTTCTCTCACCCCTTCTGTTCAACATTTATGTGAAGCCGCTGGGTGAGATCATCCGTGGTTTTGGGATGAAGTATCATCAGTATGCTGATGATACTCAGCTATACATCTCCACCCCGGACCACCCCAATGATGCCCTTAAAGTGATGTCCCAGTGCCTGGCGGCTGTACGGATCTGGATGGGGAGGAACAGACTCAGGCTCAACCCATCCAAGACCGAGTGGCTGTGGTTTCCGACGTCCCGATATAGTCAGTTGGTGCCATCACTGACTATTGGGGATGAGTCATTGCCCCCCACGGAGAGGGTTCGCAACTTAGGCGTCCTCTTGGACTCACGGCTGTCTTTAGAAGAACACTGACGGCTGTGGCCGGGAGGTCTTTTTATCAGGTTCGCCTGATTTGCCAGTTGTATCCCTTTCTGGATCGGGACTCGTTAAATATGGTCACTCATGCCCTCGTCACTTCACGCCTGGACTACTGTAATGCTCTCTACATGGGGCTCCCCTTGAGGAGCACCCGGAGGCTCCAGCTGGTCCAGAATGTGGCCGCGTGGGTAGTTATGGGAGCAGCATGGCGCTCCCATGTGGCTCCCCTCCTGCGCGAGCTGCACTGGCTCCCTGTGGTCTTCCGGGTGCGCTTCAAGGTCTTAGTTACCACCTTTAGAGCGCTCCATGGCTTAGGACCGGGGTACTTACGAGACCGCCTTCTGCCACCAATAGCCTCTCACCGCCCAGTACGCTCCCATAGAGAGGGGCTTCTCAGGGTGCCGTCAGCCAAACAGTGTTGACTGGCGGCCCCCAGGGGGAAAGCCTTTTCTGTGAGGGCACCCACCATCTGGAACGAGCTCCCCCCAGAGATACAGAAGATTCCGGATCTGCGCACTTTCCGCTGTGCCCTCAAAACATTCCTGTTTCAGCAGGCCGGCCTGGCCTAACTTTCCCTTTATATTGCTTTTTGATTTTATTTTAAACTGGGATGTCTTGAATTATCTAGGACCAGAGTGTTTAGTATATTTTAATTGGTTTTTTATTAACGTTTGTATTACATGTATTTTTATCATTCGCTGTTCACCGCCCTGAGTCCCTTAGGAATAGGGCGGTATATAAATTTAATTAATAAATAAATAAAATAATTAATTCAGCTGAAAAAGATATATAATAAATTCCCAGAACAATAATTCAATACATAGCTAGGGGTTTTATACTTTATTTCCTGATCCTTGAGCAGAAACCTAAATCAGAAGAGAGGATTTACTGGGATATATTAGACATTTCTTAAGGATTTTTTTTTGTTGCCATTCTAAAAGAAAAATCTCAATCCATTGTTGAAAATATTAAAAGTGAATACCAAATATTGAAGAGCAGCTGCATGTACAATTCTAGGTTACTAATCATACAGATGACATTGCTGGCAAATGCCATCTGAGGAACTGTAATTTTGTGAGACAAATCCAAATTTCTGATTCCTGGATTGGAAGCAATTAGTATTTTTTCCTGCCCTGTATTTCACAATGTGCAGTCAATGCATAGCTGTGCAGCTGAAGGAAATTGTAAATCATATGAGATTGGATTATGTTGAATCAACCTCAATATTTCAGGCCAGATCTTCCAGCCCATTCGCTCCAGATGTAATGGATTAAAACCCATTATTGTCAGCCTGCTAGCATATTGACTGGCTCAGTCTGATGAGATTGCAGTTAAAACACATCTGGTGCATATCAGATGGTGGTGGTTAGACTTGCCTAACAATGTCTGCGACTACCACCACTCATCAAGATTGCCTAACAATGTCTGCGACTATACCACCACTCATCAAGATTTTGAGTAGGAATGTTTTTATCAATCCTGATACTTGGAAAACCTATTTGAAGATCCCAGGAATTGAACTCTGGACTTGCTGTAGTCAAGGCATGTACTTTACTATTGGATTGTTTATAATGTTATCTGTTTCATTGGTTTTAGAAAGTATATCTTTATTGCTGAAGCTTCAAGGTGACTAACAGCTGCAAATACAACAAAAGAACAACAAATAAAATCACCAAAAGAAAATGTAAAGAGCAACGTACACACACAGTTGAAGGTTAGTTAAAGTTCAGAATAAGAAGGACTTCACCTGTGTAAAAGATATTTTACTGAATGTTGTATGGGTGACTTACCAATCTAATAGTAAAATACAATATGACAGTAACAAATATGAAACAATTGAGAATGTGATATTTTAAACGGAGTCACTAAAGTTAGTTAAAAATGTTAAAAGGCTAAAAGTTCAGAAAATTGCAAAAAAAGAGAGAGTTTGTTCTAGGATATAGCTATATCACTTCATTTGGCAGGGAAATTTGCAACAATCAATCAAAGGATTATAGATACATATGGGATAAGATAACAAACCGGAAGGTTCACTACTGTTGAATGCTTTAAGTAATGACTGTGCAGGGCAAAATTTCATAGTTTGAGCAGAAGCTGCTTCCTTGCAAATGTGAATGTTGACCAGATGTTGATAATATGATGTTGCTGTGCTATATTTCTATCGCCCCTCAGAACTCATGTGTACTGTGACTTTATCCTCTTTTATAGGCCTGCTCCCATCCTTCTACAATATATTAAGTGTAGTCTGTCACCACTAAAGGGCTGCTCACCTTGATCTGGCCAATGAAAAGCCTGAAGAAGATAAGGGGGGGAGGGGGGAAAGGGAGCAACTCAAGTGTGCTGATATGACTTGGTTTAAAGAAACAATCTTAGCAAAAACAGAGGCAGAACAGTTTTCTATGTAAAGAAGCTATATGTCTGTGAAGAAATCCATGTCCCTGAATGTTGAAGTACTGTTGAAAGTATCTGGATAAGATTAACAGGAGTGAAAAAATATGTGATAGCATTGTGGGAGTTTACTATAGGTTACCTAGGAAGGAAAAACTTCAGCAAGGCTTGTTCTAAACTTAGGCAAACTGGTGCAGCCTTACCTAGATTGGGAGGTCTTGCAGAAAATCTCTTGGGCCCTTGGGGCAGAGATAGCATAGTAAGAAATCCACTTATGCTGACAGAGAGCCAATAATGCTGACTAAGACGCTGAATCCTCAGATCTCTGAATTAAATGAATATTTTTCTTTAAAAAAATTTTTTTTCAGCAATGATATTGTTTAGGCCCTTACTAGAACTGAATTTCATCCCCTCTTCTGTTTAGTAAACCAATTTCCATTTTTCTATATGCTGACAGTGTTGCTATTTTGTCTGTACCTCAAGTGGCTCTGCAACACTTGCATTGCATTATCAATCCAAAATGCTGGAAATCAACCCCCATGAAAACCAAGGTGACACACTAACCACCCCCACATTTGGAAAACTGACAATCTTTTCCCAGAAACTATTCTTCAAGCCTCACCCTGCATGCCCGAATAGCTTGGAATGCAGTAATTAGATATATAGCCTGTGGGGGAAACAGCTATCTTCCTATAACAGGTAAACTTTCAAAATCCAAAGTGTTAAGTATAGTGCACAGTGTTGGGCTTATAAGGATACATATGCATTAGAAGCAGTGCAGTTTAAATTTATGAGATCTGCTTTGTTGCCAAGGAATGTCTCCACCTAGAGTCTGATGCATTTCCGTTGAGGACCCGCTTGAAATACTGCAGGTTGAAGAATTAGCTTAAGTAAATTGTTGGTGGGAAAAGACTCTTTAGGTTTAGACCAATTAGTACTGACAGACAGACATCAGTCTCATTGGAAGAAAGAAATGACCAGTACTGTGGATTCAACCATCATTTTATTTTTGTTTGTAACTTTGTATCCATTTGTTGTGGGAGGGAAATAGGAGGAGGAAGAAGTATTATATGTTTCTCACCTTGAGTTACTTGTAGCCTTTGATTTATGACCACAATTGAGCTCAACATTTCTGTTGAGACTAAGCGAGACAGTTGTTAAGTTAGTTTTGCCGCATTTTATGACCTTTCTTGCCACAGCTGTTAAGTGAATCACTGCAATTTTTAAGTTAGTAGCACTATTGTTAAGTGAATCTGGCTTCCTCATTGACTTTGCTTGTCAGAAGATCACAAAAAGGGATCACGTGATCCCAGGACACTGCAATCCTCATAAATATGAGTCAGTTGCAAGCATCCAAATTTTGGTCACGTAACTATGGGGATAGTTGTAAGTGTGAAAAATGGCCATAAGTCATTTTTTTCAGTGGCATTATAACTTCAAATGGTCACTAAGCAAGTGGTATGTAAGTTGAGGACTACTTGTGTTTCTGAAGTATTAAAGCTGAGATTTTTTTAAAAAAAGAAAGCAAACAAACAAAAAAGCAGAGAATCTTTGAGGTTTTCTCTCTTTTTAGTTTTCATGTACCTGAATATGACCATTTACTAAAGACAAGGGTGTGGATCCTTCTGAATTTAGCTCTTCCCAGGAATCTTTGGCTCTAGTTCAAAGCTGGGTGGGTAAGAGAAATAAGCACAAGAGTTACAGAGTCTTCAAAGAAGGGATATTTTATTTTTTTTATTCTGAAACCACGTTGTAGTAGCCACAAGTAAAAAGGAGAGGAAAAGAAAGAAAAAAACATTTAATCACACCATTGTAAGATTTCATTTCTATGGAATTTCCCATACCAGATAAAACTAGGCAGGCAGATAGACAGACAAACACAAGCAATATATAAGGCAAGATAGGGATGGTATATGTAGCATTCATTTTTTTAGTTCTGATGACTGCATTCATGCCTTAAGTGGGTTGCCATTGCTTTGTGCTGGGTATGTGGCTGTTTTAATTTTTTTAGCATTTGTTTTACAAATTATGAGTCCCTTCACACCCATACCACATTCATCCAAGAAGTTATCAGAGTTGATCCTGCTTAGGTTATGAGGTCAGCATAGGTTGGCTAATTGCTGCTATTCCTTTCCTGGTGTTCTCCTGTTTCCTATAGGTCTATAGCTGGGTGGACAGTCTGTAGTGTTCCACATTTTGTTGCCTCAAAATCATGCCATCTCTGACCATTGAGGCCATGATAGCTAGGCGCTTATGGGAGTTGAAGTCCAGCAATTTCTAAATAGATGCAACTTGCTGACCTTTAGCCTACATTTTTTAATGGAAATTAATCTGGAGGGACATCTACGTTACATATTTTATAATAGAACACTGACTCAGTATTCCAGTTCATATGCTTTCCAAGACTGCATACATATAATCCCTCTTTTTAAAAAGAAAGGACTACATGACTCAGATCTCAGTGTCTCTAAATTTCTACATAGGATATTAATATTTTAGTTATATCTTGTACAATCTAGAGGAGACCTGCCCTGTTTCTCCCAAAATAAGACATCCCCGATAATAAGCCCAATCGGGCTTTTGAGTGCATGGTAATAAGGCCAAGCACTTATTTCAGGGTTCAAAAAAATATAAGACAGGGTCTTATTTTTGGGGAAACACAGTATATATTCAGTTTTTCCACAATGGAAAAAGAATATTTCACGATTGGCCAATGAGTGGTGGATTTTATTCTTTTGTTATGAAAATATCATTATAAATCAGTATGTTCCCAAAAAATCTAGGTTGAGCATAGATATGTGTCCTTCATTTGTATCGTAATTGCATATATGAGGGCATCTGGATTTGTTATTAGTTGTATTATGCGCTTCAAGTATTACCCTTTTGTCTTCCTCTCTTTTCAGCAACTGTACAAAAAGAAGATAAGAAAATCCATTTAAAATATCTAGGCAATCAGACTTCTGAATTTTCCTATGGCTTTCTTGATTTAACAATAGATTCAGCAGAGACAATAACTTCAGGAGCAAAGTTTTCCTCTGCAAACTCATTATGTTAAGTTAGTTTCTGGTAATGTAGGACATGCATGGTTTAGTCCAGACTAAGCCATTTTATTTAGTCTTAATGAAATTATTAATAGAACCCAGTGGCATTTCTAATAGAGTTATTTTTATTTCAAATCCAGTCTTGAATAATGTTATCAAAATGGAGAGTGATGTAGATTTAATAGCAAAAGCTACAGATTGTTTGCTTAAATAACATGTATCTTAGATTTTCAATTAGTTATAGAAATATTTCAATAGAAGAAACAGAGGAGATTTTTAGAGGGAAATCTTGGCCAACAGCTGCAAATCAGGTATTAAAATTGCCACTCCTAAAAATTATTCTAATATCAATTGCTTCTGTAAATACTTTTTGCAGGGGGAGGGAGTTATGGAGATATTCACAATTTGTTTTTCTCATCTCATCAATTATTTGTGAATTTATGTTCTAAGGCTGATTTATGGAATTCAAGATCACTATCACCTAAATACAATCTTTAAAACCCTGCAGAAAATGTAATTTGGATAAGCTACTAAACCAACATTCTCAATGGACACTGCACTTATGGGAAAATGCCAGAAAGAATATATATTTCACATTTCTAGCTTGTCATCTGAGCCTGCTGTTGTGGACTGAGAAAGATTGACTAGCCTCAAATTAGCCAGCCAGCTTTTAATATTTTAGAGATCATAAGTCTCAAGAAAAAAGAAACATAAGCTGAAAGTGGAGCTTCTTTAAATGGAGGGAACAAAACCTTATCCCTACCACAACACTGCATTTTCGTTCTATATATTCTGCATACTGAAATCAAATTGAATATAAAAAATGAAATCCTCTTACATTTTGGAGTAGTTATCCCTAGGGTTGATCACATAGACTGACCAAGTTATTTTTAAAGAACTAGCCCTGAAAGAGAAATTTCAGAACTAGGTGTACATGATGGAGACAGTCTGTAACATTTGCTATTTACCATCTTTCCAAAATATTGTCAGAATGAGGTATAAAGCACATTTTATTGAACAATGTTCAGCTTTAATACAGTTAACTTTGAAATGGTTTCAAATTTTTGCTACATTCCCCAGAACTGTTTTCCTCAAGCATCCAGTCATGAAATATGTTGGATCATAAACGGCCTCTATATTTTTCTCCTTCTCCCCATAAACTGATATGGAAAGCATAGATGAAGCTTCGGTTGGTCACTGCAGCTGTTTCTGTTTCAGTGAGACTGAGTCATCCCCAAACAATGTGATAACATTTAGCAAAGCTTTGGGTGAGCAGCAAAACAGCAGAATCTGAAGCCTAAGCGGGCCTGCAGTACCTTTTTACTGAACCAAGTACAGCCAATTCAAGACAAGTTAAATTACAGTTCTGTGAATTCAGTTCCTCTGATTCCATGCAAACTGATTTCTATGGACCACAATTAGTTTAAACCCAAGGGTGAAAATGGATATAAGATTTCACAACTAACAAGTAATTTGAAAGATGATTTGACTGTGCTGCTATCACAGCACTATTGGAATTAATTTAAGAAATATGCTTCTTTCCTTCTGGTCATTTTTTTTTTTTTTAAGGATTGATACGAAGTTGGCATTAGAGTAGTAAGATAAAAACTGGGTGGACATAAAAATAGATGTGCTGCTTAGAAAAATTTACCTCTTGCTTCCTAGGCAAGAAGGGAAAGCTGATCTAACAATCAACTGACCATCCAGCATGTATGTAAAGTGGATGCAAAGTCAAACATATCACTGTTGTCAGAGATAAAAATCTTGATAGAGTTACTCTTAAAGGTTTTATTTCTAGTTTCACCCTTGGGGTTTTGATGGTGCAATTGTAGCAGTCCTCTTGCAAAATATTACATGAAAAAGTTATCAGTGTACACTTATTAAACATTTCAATGTATACCTTTCCTTTCCTTCCTTCGCACACCAAAACCACATGATTGACTACAAGCCCTCCTTGCTTCCTGCTGCCCTGCTCTCTCCTTGGTCTGGTACCCAAGAATAATTATCGGTTACATTCTTAGAATTTTTCTTGACTTCCTTGGCTTTTATTTTCCTGTAGATGACCCAAGCTAGGGCAAAAGAGACCAGGAATAAAACACCCACACCACCCAAGATAAGATACAAAAATTGCTTGGAGCCATGACTGTTCTTATCTATCCTCTCATCTCTGATATGGGGTTTGTCTTCCAGTGCACTGCTGACCACAGCTGGCTGAAGGGTGGAATCCTGGGATGCAAAGACTCCTAGCTCAGCTTGAGGTGAAGGATCAGTCAGCAAGGCTGGTAACTCTGAAGCAGGATGAATATCTGTTGGAATCCATTCTCCTCCCTGAGTGGATAGTAAAGAGGTGCTGCTTGTCGGATCCAAGAGACAAGAGATCCCATTGGGTGCCAAAATCCAGCCATCCCTACAAGAGCACAGGTAGCTGCCAACTTGATTGATGCACATATGTTCACAAAGTTCTTCCTGACACTCATCAATATCAAGACAAGAAGAGCTATTAATACCTTCCAGTTGATATCCTGGCTGGCAAGAGCAGTGGAAGGAGCCATGAGTATTTACACAAATCTGGTCACATGGTGTGTTCCTTGCACACTCGTCAATGTCCTGGCATGCCTGGTGGCCAGACTCGGCAGGCATATAGCCTAGGTTGCAACGACATGTGAAGGACCCCTTGGTATTCACACATATTTGTTCACAAGGACTTTGAGGCGCACCACACTCATTCACATCTATGCAGCTCCGCTCATCATCAGCCAAAATATAACCAGAAGCACAGAGGCATTGGAAGCCCCCAGGGTATGGTTTACACTGTCCTTGACATGGATTGGAGCTGCAGTAGTCCACGGGAACACAGGAAAGATGATCCCTTCCAAGTTGGTATCCTGAGTGGCATGCACATTGAAACAAACCCTTGCCTTGATTCAGACACTCATGTTCACAACCCCCATTGTTGTAGCTGCAACCGTAAGTGAGTGAAGCACAAAATGGACCTGGGCTGCTCCATTCAGAGACATTGCTGTTTGGCTGTGGCTTGCACACAAGGAAGATGTTAGGTATCTCCTCTCCTTGGGGCTCACATGCTACTTCAGCCGTGGAGCCAAAGGGTACAGTGACAAGGAAATCAGTGGCTACACCAAAAGGGGTGCTGTAGCTGACCATACCTGGCCCTGCCAGTATAAGTGGACGACACATTCCCTGGAAACTGAACTTGCACAAGAAGCCTGACAACCCAGCATTTGCATTGCCGCAGAGGCTGTCTACCCAGGACAGTTCCTGAGATGAGAAGGGAGTCCCCTGAAGGGTCACACACATATTTGACAAGCATGTTTCCCGGGGCTCCTGTCCCCAATTAGAGTATTGGGTGTCCTCACCTCCTGTCACCCAGCGGAAGCCCCTCAATGGCCGATGTTTCTCGTAGCATTTGCCTTTCTTTCGGTGAAGCCCAATCCACAATCTTACCTCTGAAACTGTGCCAGCTTCCCCTTTGGGTATCTTCGTGAGCAGCTGTGGGACAAGCAAAGCCTCCTCTTGGCTTTTCAGAGTCATCAGGTTACCCCCATTGTCCTTGCACTTTTGCTGAGCTTCCATCCAACCAAACCGTCCAAAATTCAGTGTGTAGCAAGTGGTCCCAGAACACAAAGCTTCTACCTCTTCACTGGGCTGAACTGTCAGTCCCAAAAGCAGCAGCTGCCAAAATACCTGTGGGGGAATCCCCATCTTTGCTGCATGAAGGAACAACGAACTGAGTGATTTCATTGTGGGCTCAAATTCTATAAATGTCTGTAAAGCATATGCTAAGACAATAGAGCACAGCTTGTTTGCCTCCCATATCCCTTTGGCTCAGTGGCTGGGTCATATGCATCCTGTCTTGGTTGAGAGTCTTATTTGTCACCGGAGACTTAAGTTTCCTGAGAGAGTTTCATTGTCAGCTGCAGCCCTTGTTGTTCAGTTTGGTTTAACCTATGGGGATAAAAAACATCCCTTTTATACCCTCTCTCAGTTTTCTTATTTTTAACCTAGTTCTTTTCCTTCATGTGGAATGTACACTGCCTCCCTCCCCTCCCCCCTTATAAAACATCACTGAACTTTCAAACAAACCAAATAGGGCCTTCCAGTTTTAGAGTGGTATTTTTTAAAATTGGACATAAGATGCCACATCTAGATGGAAAAACATTGTACAGCCCTTCGTAATATTAACCTCTCATATTTATGTTCTTTAAATAGAAATGAAACCCTTAAATAGAAATTGGGTCATGGGAATGTCTTCATTTTAAAGGCAGCTACGCTTTTTAAGGGTTCAGATCTGATTCCTATAATAGTGTGAAATCCTCATTCAGCCAAAACTGACAGGGCCATTTCGTTTCTATTGAATTTTTAACAGGTTTACAATGTAATGCTCACAAAGAATTTTATAAATCCAGAATTATTAACTTAGCATTTGAGATGATGCCGTTACAAAGAGCAAACCCTAGTTTACTTTTGAGATGTGTGAAATTACATCCAGGGTCCAAACAAGATTCCTAAGTACCGTACTGCAAAACTGACTGCATGAATACCAGCACAGTTCTGCCTTAAGGGGAGACAGAAGTTTAGGAAGTTGCCTTAGTACTGAATCAGGCTGAGGATAAATAATTGTTATCGACTACAGCTTTCTGAATGTGAGTTTACTGCAGCTTTGTTAGATTACAATTCCCATCATCTCCAGGTACATGCAGAACGAGAAGTGTAGTTCAGTACATGAAGTGGGAACAGTATTTACAATGGCTGATCTGCCTTAATTGGCAGAATCTCCCAGAGAGTTAGACAGCAATCTTTCTCAGCTCTGATCCGGATGCTCCATGCAGCAATGTGGAGAAAGACAATTTCAGACATACAACAAAAGATTGTTCTCATAAAATATTGAAAAAAAGTTTCCCATGTGAAATGGATCAGATCATGCAGTTGGATGGCAGTACCAGAAGATATAAGAAAAGTGCAAAAGGAAATCTGATCAAAAACCAAAAGTGCATGAGACATCCTTTGGAGCCATTATAGAGAATCAGATGTTACACATCTGGTAGTCAGGGAAGAAAACAAATCATGTTTTTCTTCTATGTGGCTACAGAAATTCATTGAATGGAGTTTTTCAGAGCTATTGGATATGTGACTGTGTCTTTAATTATCCCAATTGATGTTCTAATATTGTGAAAAGTTTTCATAATTCTTCATGGATTAAAAATCATGTGAAATTAACATAGACCTCATGTCCATCTCCCCTGTTTGAGTTTTTCTGTTGAGTGAGAAGGTATCTTGATCTTGTAGATCAGGGGGTCTAAGGACTTTATCCTTCCAGTGATTTTTGAGATTACTTTATACTCTCTTTGTCAGGAAGAGTTTTCTGAATTCCTAAACGAGTCAGTAGTAAGAGCTTTGCTTAAAAAGCCATATTTAAATCTGAAATAGTATAATAAATATTGGCCTAAACCCAACATTCCATATTTAGCATTTGATGGTACTACAGTCCCAGAGGCCCTGATCTTTAGATCCAAATTTGGTATGAAAATGACCACTGTGATCCTGATGGATTAGCTGTAAGGGACTTTGACCCTACTGATACATGAAGAATTCTGTGTTTTTAATATTACTTGTCATAATATTCCATTAGAACATATAAAGAAGTTGCTGATTGGCTCTTTAGCATGTGATTTTCCTGGACTTTAATTGTTTCTACCCACAACCTCAATTGACAGGTTTAGAGGATGCAGAGAATGGCCTTGAGGGACAGGAGGAAGAGAAAGAGCCACTACTATGACTATGGACAAATAAAGGAGGATTGAGTCTTGGCCAAGCAAATAATGTGAAAAAACATCTTAGATAAATCCCTTCTGAATTCAGAGACATAGAAAGGGGGTGGGGGTGGGGGTGGGGGGGACACATTCAGACTTGCAAGATTCTGTTACTGTAGCTGTTACAACAGGGGTGTCAAACTTGCAGCGTCACATTGTCGTCATGTGACATATTATGATTTTTTCCTCCTTCGCTAAAACGGAGTTGGGTGTGGCCAGCGCATGACGCATCCAGCCCGTGGGCCCTGAATTTGACACCCCTGTGTTACAATATAAATAGTTCTGACCTATACAGCATTGGTTTCTTAGTCTGGTCTGCCTTACTGGGCTGACATCAGATCAGCTCATTTTCCCTTAACCTTTCAGTACCTGAATCTATTGTAATAGGATGCTTCCCCATTCCATTTACCAGATCTTTTTAGTTAGAATTAATTATAGCATTGTTAACTGTTTGATATAAACAGATATTGTTTATGTTTTCATTTTTTTATTGTTAGCTATCTTGAGTGCCTTCTGAAAAAAAAGGTGGGGTGCAAAATTGAAAGAAGAAATAGGATCAGTAAGGGCTAAAGTAAATGTTACTTTTATTGTTCAATTGGCTCGCATTGGTGTCAAAAAGCACACCTTTTTCTTTGTAAGCAGAGGTGCTTTTTTTAAATAAAGGGATTATAGCTGGGAAGAGGAAAGTTTAAACCTCTCCTAAGTAACTCAAAGCAGTATCACGCTAAAGCAACTTATTTCAGATAGCACAGTAAATTAGGATAATTAAGAGCTTACACAACCTCTTTTTAGGCCATTATTTTTCAAAGGAAGTTTTGAATCACATGTTGAGAGGAAAAATCCAAGTTACAAATGAGGCTGGGATAAGACAAGGGGCAGACTTTTAGATGCTATTAAATTTGATTTTGGCTTATGTAATTACTCCCCACATATTTAATTATTTACTCCTTTAGGGTTAAGGTTCAGGACAGGATAAGAGTGAGGGTAACTAATGTTTTGCAGTTACTGTATTTGGACTATAAAAATCCAAGTGACCCTCAGATGACAGAAGAGATACAGAAAACTGACTGTAGCAGCATCCAGCATCCCTGAACAAAGTGCCAATCTAGGAGTAAGTGCTGGAGAGGCCCTGGGAAGCCGGCCTCTTGTTTCTGTGTCAAATAGGAGGAGCTGGATCTGAATAATGAAGCAACACCTCTCGAAGAGTTAGTTGTACTGTGCTAATGAGGCCATCACCATCTTGTCCACCAGAAGGTGTCAGGTTCTTCCAAATAAATTTGACAGTTCTAAGGAACAGCTAGGCAGATAAGGGCAGATGATGAATCTTCAAACCTAGCAGATCCAACAAAAACAGCATTATGATTTCAAAGGTGGTGCTTCTTCAAGATTACATACCTTTTGCAACACAAGCATGAGTAAATGAAAGCTATGCTATACATGTGATTCCATTAATATATTTAGCCCATTCACTATCCCAGAGGCTCAGCAGAAAACTGAAGAGAAGCATAGTCATGGTTGCAACAAGACCAAGGATGCACATGTGGGTGTATCTCTGTGTTAATATATGAGTGGTCAATGTGCAAAATCTAGGAATGTTGCACCATAATAACATACATGATTCATTTTATAGATAAGAGTTCTATTAATAATAGGATAATCTTAAAATACAAACTGCCTATAAATCCTGATGAGTCAGAATCTAATTTTAGGAGAGACTTTACAATCAACATTTGTTCCTCAACTCACTGATGGATTTGTTTCTCTTCGGCATTACCTTGAAATATCACTGCTTTCTACATGGAAATATTTGAAAAGAATCAAGCATATCTGGGACTGATATTTCTGTCTCCCCATTTAGCATATTTTTACTCATATTCATATACTTCTTGGTGTACTTGAATGAGCACAACTCTTGGGACAGTTATTTCCTGAATGATCTCATATATGGATGCACGAAGAGATTTTGTAGAATGGCAGTGATGAAATCTGCTGGCAACTTACTTGAGTTTTCTGAAAGCTGAACAATGCAGTGAGGCTGTTGTGGGATGATCCTAATGACGCCTTCATTCTGACTTGACATGGGGAAGATAGAAATTGTAAATGTTTTTATGTATTGCATATATGTGAATGTTGTCATTCCACTAACAAATATGAAAGAGGGTGATCGAGAGAAATTTTCCTTTCTCATGCCCAATTTAGTAATGTTTCCCTGCTGCCATTCGGAAATCTGGAGAAAATTCTTGTTTTTCTGTTTTCTAAAAGCTGCAAAGCAAAAACAATTTTCCAGGATAACCTGAAGCTCTCCAGTTTTTAAGGTAAGTGCTTGTAGACAGTCTTTGTGTTTACCTTGGGAAAATTAACACAATTTCTTTTTAATTCTGTTGGTGAATTTAGCTTTAAATTAAAATAAATGTTTGAAAGATTTTCTCCAAGTAAAGGTAAATGTTTCCCTCACACATATGTGCTAGTCATTCCCAACTCTAGGGGTCAGTGCTCATCTCAGTTTCAAAGCCAAAGAGCCAGCGCTGTCTGAAGACGTCTCCGTGGTCATGTGGCCAACATAACGCCAAAAGCTCACGGAATGCTGTTACCTTCCCTCCAAAGGTGGTCCCTATTTTTCTACTTGCATTTTTTACGTGCTTTCGAACTGCTGGGTTGGCAGAGGTTGGGACAAGTAACAAGCTCACACCATTACGCGGCACTAGGGATTCAAACTGCTGAACTGCCAACCTTTCGATTGACAAGCTCAGCATCTTAGCCACTGAGCCACTGTGTCCCTTTATTTAGTTTTAAATTAAAATAAATGTTTGAAAGATTTTCTCCAGATAAACACTAATAATCTATTTGATATAAGATTCCCCTTTCACAATTCTGCCTCATTTTGGTGGAGTTTGCAACAGGGAACTTCCTGGATTGTGCCCTGTTGCTTTATCTTGGGGAGACAGCGAATTCTCTGTAATCCAAATATATTCGGTATAGTATTGTATTCTGTATTTTAACATCCTGCTGGGATATCCTGTAGCAATCGTTTGTTTTGACTTAAATGCTTATCTACAGGATCATATACAATCTCCTCAGTCACAGGAAAGGCTCAGAATGTACATTATTTATAAGGAGAATAGATTTGTATAGACTGT